ACCAAGAAATATTTGAAAGAACTGAATTGTTTCTAAATATATTGGAAAAACAATTGTCCAACAATAGCCAAGATGGGGTCCTGTTGCCCCTTAACTCCTGCACCATCTACACTTCACCTGCTCATCTCACAGGTGCATTCAGCTCTTCTCTCACCTGTGCTTCTGCCAGGGCTGGGAGCCCCAGGGAACACTTGGCACATGGATGTAGGGACAGTCTAGTGTGAACAATGAGCTTTCATTTGCTTTCCAGCTTTCTCTTAAATGTGCTGGGTTTTGTTCCTCATATGCTTGTGGTTCATTTGCTATTGTTTTTAAGGAAGCTGTTTTTCCTTTCGATGTGGGTCCCACTTGACTCCTTGTTTGTGCAGCTGTTGTGAATTTGTTGTGTTCTGTCACACCAGCCACGGGTGGTGCTGTTTGGAGGACACAGGCCTCTGAAATAGGGTCATCTGGGTCCCAATGAGCTGCCTTGCACTTGAAATGTGGCATTTTGTGGGTTTGCGGGCTGAGGCTAATGCCCCCACCTGTGCTGTAAGTAAAGATAAGGCTGCCCTGGCTGCCTCCTCCCTCACCTCCCAACATGGACTCCACGGAGTGGATTGGAAAACTCAGGACACGTAGGCATCCATTTCACACTGTCATTCTGGAATCAAACATTGTGCTTCTGCCAGGGCTGGGAGCCCCAGGGAACACTTGGCACATGGATGTAGGGACGGTCTAGTGTGAAAAATGAGCCTTCTCTGCTTTTAATCTTACACTTAAATGTGCTGGGTTTTGCTTCTCATATCCTTGTGGTTCATTTGCTATTGTTTTAAAGGAAGTTGTTTTTCCTTTCGATGTGGGTCCCAGTTGACTCCTTGTTTGTGCAGCTGTTATGAATTTGTTGTGTTCTGTCACACCAGCCACGGGTGGTGCTATTTGGAGGACACAGGCCTCTGAAATAGGGTCATCTGGGTCCCAATGAGCTGCCTTGCACTTGAAATGTGGCATTTTGTGGGTTTGCGGGCTGAGGCTAATGCCCCCACCTATGCTGTAAGTAAAGGTAAGGCTGCCCTGGCTGGCTCCTCCCTCACCTTCCAACATGGACTCCACTGAGTGGATTGGAAAACTTAGGACACTTAGGCGTCCATTTTACACTGTCATTCTGGAATCAAACACGATCAGGCATGTGAAACTGTTATGTGCAATAAAGAGAAAACACTGAGAGTTTATTTTCAAGACAAAATTTCT